AGAGGCGGAGGAAGGCGGGGCTCCTCCCTTTCCTAACCGAGGGGGGCCTCCTCTTCTGAACAATAAATCCCATTAACCGCGGCGGCGTTTTTTTTTTCTTTTTCCTTGGCAGGCTTGGCTTTTCCGTCTTCGTGCCTGGGAATAATGCATTTAACTGATTTTGCAGCTCTGTGCAGCCTGCTTCGCTTTCCTCGCTCGCTCCCACCGTACGTTTTCCTGGCCGTTTTAATTCTGCGAAGGGTGGGAAAGCGCCTCCTTCGCTTGAGTAACCCCCGGCGCGGCGAAGCGGGCGGCTCGCTCCTCTCCCGTCGAGGGCTGCTCGGAACAGCCACCGAAAGTTGGCCGGGTGGGAGATGCAGCAGGGAAATGCTTTACTCTCGAGAAGGCGCCAATTCCCGCGAGGGGGGGAGTGCATTAAACATGTTAGAGAGGGGCAATGTAAGATTGAGTGGCGGAGGCGCGACAACTTCGCAGGCAATTCGTTTGCAAGGCGACTTACAGAGAAGTAGCGGCATTACTCTGCTGCAGCAAACGCACGAGGGGACCTTTGGTTGTAGAGCTCTGCGTGGTGTGGTCGTGTGAACGCGCACCCGGGATTGGGTGCCTATCACTCCCCCGTTCCATGCGCACGTATTCGCATTCACTCCAACCACGCGGACTGTTTGCACCCCAACGCTTGGAAGAGCAAGATCTTTTAACCTCAAAACGCCTCGTGCCATCATCGCGGCTCTTCTCCAAAAAGTCATTAAAAAGGGGGGGGGGGACAGACGGTGTAACAATCGAAGGAAAGCAGGAGGGGCAGGAAAGATCCGCCACGTCCCCCTCCCGCTAACCAAAAAGGTCTCCGCAGAACCGGATTGACGTGACTCCAGTAAAACGATTACTATTATTTTTAGATTGGGGCGGATTGAGACTGGCGTCCCAAACTCCGCTGCTATAAGCAAACCTCCCCTTGCCAGAGCCCCTTGGACTCCTCCCCAGATCCTCAAACACGCCCCCCACGGCTGCCCCCTTCCCCCCCGCCCATTTCCTTTGCCCTGTCCCGTGCCTGGAATTCGGCGTCCCCTCCCTTTCCATCCTGCATCTCGCACTCCGAAGGAACTGCTTTCACATTTGGAGGTACCTGGGGAGGGCCCGCGCTCCAAATCCGCTCTTTTTCCCAAACTCCGCCGACCCAAAGTCCAGGTGAGGGGCGCGCCAGATGGTATTTATATTGGAGAGGGGGGATGAGCCACGGGGGCGAGCGAGGGAGGCAACCTCCGTCGCCCAGGCTCGAAAGATGCTCTAGAAAGAAATAGAAGACACTTTCCCCAGGAAATTGGGGCGGGGGGAGAACGGGGGAATTCTGCCCTCTATGCCCGTTTTGTGCGGGCTTGATCCTGCCCGTTCTTCATACCTCTTTCTTGGTGCAAGATCAGGAAATGGGTGGGAGTGGGGATACCCAGAGTACATAGATATATGTGCTGTTTTAAAAGTAGGTCTCGTTCAAAGACTTTAAAAGTAATTTGTTGTTCTGGTTTCTTTATTTTTTTCCTTTCAGGGATATTATCCAAGGGGGAGGGGAGCCCATCCATTAAACCAAAATGGGATATGTGATTAATGCAAACAAACAACCAAGTAAATTTCACCAGATGTTGAAATGTGAGATTTCTGTTCAACTAAATTTAGAATTAAGAGTGTGGTCTATATGGTCTGTCTGTCTATAGTGAATTAGAGGAGGAGGTTTCTCCAAAATGCAAAAAAAAGAAAAAGAGAAGGAAAGAGAAGAGAAGAGAAATTGAAATATATAGCAAGAAGATTGAGAGGGGAAGATCCGAGAAGGGGAGGGAGCTGGGCAAAAATGTGGCTGTTTTATATCGTTCTGAATAAGGATGGAGAACAGGTCTTGATTCAGTTTTCCACTTCTTGCAGAACTAAGATTTGTCTCAGTGTGACTTCTACTTGATTTTTTTAATTGCTTCACTTAGGCTATATAAACATTTTACATATGTTTCTATTTTTTAACTGGGAGAGGCTTTTAATTAAACAAAACAAGCAAGAAACAATAGGAGAAAAAGAAAAAGGGGAGAAAAACAAGGTTATTATATATATATATATATGTATGAGAAGTATATATATATATATATATATATATATATATATATA